AAGCCCAGGCAGGGGTTGGTTTTGCTCTTGATCCAGCCTGGATCACTGCACTTGAGCACGGGGCCCTTCTCCACGCCATGTGCAGAGCTGCATCAGCTTCTCAGGCTGCCCTTGGGGCTTTGCCAGGCAATAATTGCAGCCTCCACTCTCCTCTCATTTCTGCAAGCACAGTTTTCAAAGCAGTTCCTTCGAAAGCTTGCTTTCAGAAAGGATGAGCAAGGGGTTTATTTTAGCTGTACAGATGTAATTTTGCCTGCACCATGTGGGGAAGCCCAAGGAGGGGCTGTGATTGCTGAGGGCATCCTGGGGTGGAAATCAGGGACACAAAGCAAACCGAGGTTGGGGTTAGCTGCAGGGGAAAACGCCTTGCCGAGAAAACAGGCTCTCCGCAGGGATTAGGGCAGCGCTTTACGGCTGTTCCAAGCTGGGAGGTTCGGTCACAAGATGGAGCTATAGCTACATACTTTCCAAAGGCGAGCTTTCGATAAATGACGTGACGGCAAATGAGCGCTCACTCAACCTCCACCACCCCGCAGGAGGTTCAGCTGGAAGGGACTTCCTTGACCCTATCTGTAGGTGGAGCTCTGCTTCACACTCCCTAAATCGCTCAGGGCCTGGAAGACATGGGATAGTAAAGAGACTGAGCAAACCACCCACCCCTTGACCATCAGAGGGGCATCGGTGGCCTTAGACAATTCAGGGGACAAACCCACCCATCAGGCTGACATTCCTCTTGCAGGGCAAACAGCAGTTTTGGCCAGAAAGCTGTGTTGGTGGTGCCTTTTCTTCCCCAACCGTGCCTTCCCCATGCACACCCTGCTGCAGCTTAGTGTGCCACTGGCTGCTTTCCTCTGCCCTGTCGGCTGCTGGTCTGCAGGGGAGCAAAACCCCTCAGAGAATACCTGTGGGCTCCTCCTGCATGTGTTGACTTGCATCTACTTTTCTTGAAGGCATATAACCCGTGCCACTGTCAATGCCTCATGGTATTTTGAGCACAGCAGGGGAAAACAACAACACACCACTGTATTTCACTTCTTAAGCTTTAAGAGGATGCTACCAGCTACACGGGGTTTCAACACAGGGAGGGAGGGGACATGTTTTAAGGAGAAGACTTTAAAAACAGACAAACTTCTGACGCTGTGATGAAAAGTTGCACAATAAAGATGTTATATTTAAGTTCAGCGTGTCAAAGAAGTGTTTGCACCCACAGTGCAGATACATTCTCCAAAGAGTTATGTATCAGGAAGTAATATAGATCAGAAATGAGAATAAGGAATGCTAGATTTATATTGTCCAAGTTCAATAAGACAAGGTAGCATAAAATGAAGTGGGAAATCTTACATACTGTCTACTTAAAGTTAGTATTATAGAATTATCATAACAATTTACAACTAAGACATCAAAATGATTGTTTGCCTGGTAGCTTCTTTTTAGAACTTTTCTAACAGTTTTGTTTGTTCCAATGCTTGTGACTTTTATATTTGACGGTTTTAATTAAAGTGATTTATACCAGTTTTTGGCAATCTTCCTTTTTCTCAAGACTCTTTTTTTCACATACTGATACCACAAAAAATCCCTCCATTCCTTTTGGTCACACATCATCTACATTTTGCATGATTTTCAACAAGAGTAACCTGAGTAAGTAAAAATTAAAGAAATCGTACCCAGGCTGGTGTGTTTCAGTTGCACTGAGTCAGACAGAGGGGTCACCTCCACCTCACTGTTTGACTCAGACACAGTACATGGGCTGATTAGCATGCAAGAACTACTAGGAGCAGTACAGGGAGGTCCAGCTGTGCCAGTGACAGCTGCTCTGGCTTCCCCTCCCAGATACGTCTCCTCTGAGCATACAGCCTGGTTCTTCAAATGGCGGGGTGGTGAGAGGTATCATTCACAGCTCGTGTAACTGCTTTTGACTTAAAAAGCTCTACACACACCCAGGTGGCATTGCATCATAGAATCATTTATGTTGGAAGGGACCTTAAAGATCATTTATTTCCAACCCCATGCCATGGGCAGGGACACCTTCCACTAGACCAGGTTGCTCCAAGCCCTGTCCAACCTGGCCTTGAACATTCCTAGAGATGTTGCAGCCCCAGCTTCTCTGGGCAACCTGTTCTAAGTCTCAATGAAGAATTTCTTCCTAATATCTAATGTAAATCTCCCCTGTTTCAGTTTAAAGCCATTCCCCCTTTTCCTATCACTACTTGCTCTTATAAAAAAAAAATGTCTCTCCAGCTTTCCTATAGGCCCCCTTTAGGTATTGGAAGGCTGCTGTAAGGTCTCCCCTGAGCCTTCTGCTCTTGAGGCTGAACAGCTCTCTCAGCCTCTCTTCATAGGATAGATCCTCCAGCCCTCGGAGCATCTTTGTGACTCTCCTCTGGACTCATTTCTACAGCTCTATACCTCTCATGCTGGAGCCCCAGAGCTGAATGCAGTACTGCAGGTGAAGTCTCATGAGAGTGGAGTAGAGAGGGAGAATCACCTCTCTCGACCTGCTGGTCACGCTCCTTTTGATGCAGGCCAGCATACGGTTGGCTTTCTGGGCTGCAAGCGCACACTGCTGGGTAATGTTGAGCTTCTTCACAAAGTGACTTTTCTTTACGAAGTGTTGTATATTAAGCTGATAGCTACTGTTAGCTCTGTATAAACAAAGCAGGAGGGAGACAAACGTAGTAAGTGACACTGGATCCTAGCATAGCAGGACAGGTATGGTCAGACCCAGAGTTGAATACCACCCTTGCAGGCCCCACCTGCGCATCTGCAGCAGCACAGGCCCCATGAACACCTTATCCAAGGGTTTTTCCCCTCTGTGAATGCTGTAAAATTTGGGGTCTTGAACTTAAGTATGTGTGTATACACACACACACACACACACACACACACAGATTTATCTGAGACCAGGAACAATTCTCTCACATATGTTCCAATTTGCTTTTGCATTTTTGAGCTTGGATTGCTCACCTTGGATTTACCGTGTACCAGTTCCTGGAAGGTGGAGTACATTGCATCATGAGACCTTTGTATAGGGGATCATTTAATGCTTGTAAAAATAAGGAAACCGATAATCTCCTTTGAATCAGGGACATTTTGACCATTGACTCAGACATTAGTCAAAAATGACAGTAGGGACTTAATAGCTTTTGGTGATTTTTCAGGTCTGAAATGTGATATTCTCTAGATTTCTGAGGGTTTGGGTTTTGGTTTTCTTCTTCAGTGAGGAGCTAGGCCACCTTACAATGAATATAAATATAGGCAAAGTAAGCGTGCAAGGCTGTTGCTGCCCTCCAAGATACACTGTTCAAACACACCTCAGGCACTCATCCATACCTGAATAAAGCCCATAGTGACTGATCTCAACAGAATGAAACAGCCAAGGTCACACAAGAAAAAATATTCTAGTTACACTTCATCAGAGCTGAGCATCTGTTTCTCTTACGGTCCTGAGCAAATTGTGTTACTGCTGTGCAGTCCTGCTACAGCAAGTGGAAAAATGTGAAACTCTCTTCTCCATCACACTGGTTTTTTACTTCCTCTTGGCAGTCAACTTTTTGGGAAATGAAACTCTAAAATGGTTTCCCTTTTATTTTGTCAGTGTACAAGGTGTTCCAACTGAAGGAAATGTGCAATGAGAGAGAAGTTACACACTACATGGTCACTGGATTCTCCAAGAAATCTTTCAGCAGCAAACTTGGGGACATTTTATCACTGAAACCATGCAAGACAAAGTGTTTATGGCTCTGCCCAAAGCTCCTCTGCCTCCCCATTTTTATGCAGTAACTCACAGAAGACGCTGGGAGAACTAAGTGAATGAGGACAGAGATCCAAAGATGTCATAGTTTAACCCCAGCTGGGAACTAAGTACCACACAGCCTCACACTCACTCCCCATCCCTCCTAAATCCCTGCAGTGGGACACAAATGAGAATCAGATAAAAAGTTAAAAACCCACAGGTTGATATAAAAAGTTTAATAATTGAAATAAAAGTAAATTATATTAATACAACAACATTAGGAAATAGAGACAGAGAAGAAGGAATAAACCCCATCCTCCAAAAAATGATGCACAGTACAATTGCTACCTGCTGACTGATAAACAGCCCAGCCTGAGCAGCAATCAGTTCCTTCCGGGTAATTCCCACAGTTTATACACCAAGTATGACATGCTGTGGTATGGAATACCCCTTTGGCTAGCTTGGGTCAGGTGTCCTGTCTCTGCTCCCTCTCAGCTTCCCATGCCCCTTCTCACGGGCAGAATCTGAGAGACTGAAAAGTCCTTGATCATGGAAAGAGCTACTGAGCAACAACTAAAACATCGGTGTTATCAGGCTAAATCCAAAACACAGCACTACACCAGATACCGCGAAGAAAATGAGCTCTGTCCCAGCTGAATCCAGGACAAAAGGTCCTATACAATCCTAGTATTTTTTCCTAAGTACAGACTGGGAGGTTTAGGAGACGAGACATACGCTGAGGATGCACGAACATGATGGTATGTTTGACGATATAAAGTCACCTATGGGATTTCAACGAACAGCATGGGAGACTTCACAGAAGTGTTAACAGCAAAAACAGCACACGCGCTTCTTGTGCGGTGCTGAGGTACAGCAACTAAAGATTACAGGAGTTATTAAATGTGTGCGTCCTGCCGCTGAGCCATCGGTCCCCCTCGGGGGCTCTGTCAGCATTCACCTCTCGAAGCCTGACGGCAGGCAAAGCTCCAGCCTCCCTCACGCCCCGAGCCAGGCCTTGGCCACCGCCCTTTGTACCTGTGCCAGGACGGATCCCTGCTGAGCCCTGCTTGCCCCTGCGGAAACAGCTCCCTGAGAGCCGCGGGGGGCGGGCTCCGCCCGGCCTGACCCGCAGTTTCGATTCCCGCGAGCGAGGCAGCACACGAAGGAATGACGAGGCAGGGAACCTCCGAACCCAACCCCACCGCACCGCAAGGCCGGCCCCGCTCCCTCAGACGGGAGGGGTGGGTTCACGCATGTGTGACCCCACGTGTCACCGCCACGCCGGAAGCGCGGCGGCAAGATGGCGGCGCTCCTGGCGCGGCTGTGTCGGGGCGCTCCCGGCCTCCGCGTCTCCCGCCTGCCTCTCGCCGCCGCCGCTCCGCCTCTGCGCCGCCCCTCCGCGCCGTCGGGACGGCCGCGCCTGCTCAGCTTTTCAGCGTCCGAGCTGGTGCGCGCCGCGCCGGTGCCGCTGCAGCCATACCTGCGCCTCATGCGGCTGCACCAGCCCGCCGGTGAGCGCGGCGAGGCGCTGCCGTAGTGACGCGGTAACCGCGGCGACTCTGCCCCCCCCACCCCGCTCCTCGTTTCGCTCCTCAGGCCACCCGCGGGTCTTCTCTCCCCTCAGGGACGTGGCTGCTGTACCTGCCGTGCACATGGAGCATCGGCTTGGCGGCCGAGCCGGGCTGCCTCCCCGACTGCCACATGCTGTCCCTCTTCGGCCTCGGGGCGGTGCTCATGCGCGGAGCCGGCTGCACGATCAACGACATGTGGGATCGCGACTATGACAGAAAGGTAGAGCGACCCCCGTGGGCTTGACAAGATCTGTGTGCAAAGTACGTGTCCGCTCATCTCCCACATCACCAGTGGGTACCTGCTGAGTGCAGGCATAGGGCTCCAGGTTCAGTAATTCCTCCATTCTGTCCAAGATGCGTGCAATTAATTCGTCTACATCTCCTCCTAGAACAGTAGAAATAGTTTCATTTTTGTATAACGCTTCTCTGTCTAGGGCTGTAGTAAGTCTTCTAGAGCACTTACTTCTGTGTAAGATAAAATACATGTGGTTGTCAGCTGTAGGTAGTACTTGAAGTTTATTTTACAGCACAGTTTTGCATGGCAGAAGAAAATAACACTTTTTTTTTGCTACACTTGCCAGTTACGATCTACCCAACACTTTGTTTATTTAATTTTCAGGAGCCAGGTTTCCTTGAGTATTTTTAACTTGTTCATGAAAATGGCTGTTAAGAGTGTCATACCCAGCCTGGAGCTAATCCTCTTCCATTGTGCTGTAGTTTTCCTCTTCTTTTTGTTCAGAAGAGGGAAATGAGCAGAAGGCAGTGCCCGGTGTCAGATGTTGTAATGTCCACAGGTGCAGGCTTGGAGGGGAGTGTCCTGGCGATGCGTCACTGTTTGCTTGTCCTGTTTTCTGCTTCTATATTGTGTGGGGCTTTGGGTTTCGGCGCTGGTGAGAGAGAGGAGGATGAGCCAGCCCATGAAGTTATTACAGCACTGGTGTATCTGTGCTGTTGGGAAGGCAGTGAATGAATCAGTTCAGGTTTTGTGGCAGTTTTGCATGGTTTAGTGTTTCGAGGTTACTAACAACTACGTATGCTAAAAATATTTGCCAGGGTGGGGCGTGTGATTAGTAATAGGGACTTTTCAATATAATTAATTGATTTATGCCTTAATGTGATTAAATGTGAAGCTTTCGACATTCCTGTCACAGTATTACATATCTTAAAGGATATCTTTAAAACAAGTGTGATAGGGGCTGGGTCAGTAGCAGGATGTTGTCTTGAGCTGGTGATAATGGGTTGGGGTTTTACGTTTTATGTTACGGATTATTTAGTAAGTATTTTCTTCTGTTTAAATGAAACATCCGATGTTTGGCTGCAATATGCAGTGGAATTGGTCACAGATATGTCAAGAGCATGTTTAAACTGCAGCAGCAGAATTTGACATTTAACCTAATCTGAAAAACTTTATTTAAATTCACATCATTAAAGCATGTGCAGAACACTTTATGCCCACAGAGTATTCTGTAAAAAGTTGGATTTTGAACCTCTTTGAATAGACTTTACACCATTTTCATCAATGTGCAAGATGTTTGGGTTCTGTGGGATTTTTTCCCTTTTGGCAGCGGTCACCTTTGGCAAATACCTCAGTTTAACTTGCTTCAGATATTTCTTTCTTCTTTTAGTTTACCTTTTATGATTTCCTATTCCAGACAGAGTTTCTAAACTCCACTGTACTCAGACTAGGATTAAATTAATTGTCCTTTCACAGTCATTAACAATGGTTACATGTGTTAGAGGAGCCCTGCATCTTTACAATGTTTTGCATAGTAATCACTTTAAAGTGTTTGAGCACAGAAGTGCTCCTTGAAATTTGAATAGTCAGCTCAGTTTTTAAGTCTGATTGATTATTTTTTTCCTCTAAGGTAATAAAGTTCATATACAAGATGCCTGCAGTGTTGCTAATCAGCCTTGTTACACATAAATGGCACTTTATTCCTGCTGTAGGTTTTAAAGCCTGCATGCTTCTAGTATAAGCACTGCTGTTTAGAAATACAGGTCATGTCTGTGAAGATAGGTTTGTATCTTTGAAGTAACCCCATCTCATACATTCTGTGACCTGTTTCTGTTTATTTTTCTGCTATATGCCAATGGCGTGACTTTTAGTTTTAAGATCCATTGGAATGTGTTACGTTGGATTTGGTATTAACATTATTCTTTCTATTTTCAGGTGGCAAGGACGGCAAGCAGGCCCCTGGCAGCTGGAGATATCTCCACTTTCCAGTCCTTTGTTTTTCTTGGTGGACAACTAAGCTTGGCACTTTGTGTGCTTCTGTGTCTGAATTACTATAGGTGACATACAAGTTATGTTTTGCTTTTTAAAATTTGATTCTAGGTCCACAGTCAAGCACAGAGATTTTCAGCAGAAAAGTCTCTGGGGGCAGGGGGAGGAGGTTATTAGTTGTGGAGGTGTATTTCAAAGTAAAAGAATTAGTTCAGTAATCTTTACCTCTCCTGTAATGCCACACTGCATCTTTAGACTGGCAAACAATAAACCTCATGGTATGTTTTACAGTATCGCTCTGGGAGCAGCCTCTTTGTCTCTTGTGGTCACCTACCCTCTGATGAAGAGAATAACATATTGGCCACAATTAGTTTTGGGTGAGCTGGAAATATTTTTGCTATTTTTTTTTTCTTTGGGTTGAGTTTTTGGGGTGTTTTACAAATCAGTTGTTGAACTTGAGCCGTCTGTTTTTGTATAACTTTACATTAAAATAAAAATACCTTATAGATGAAATTCTATTGTGTCAGAAGCTTCTTAAGCAATTTATAATGCATATAAGAGTTGATGCTTGGGTTAGGGTTTTTTTGTTAAAAATCTGTTCCTTAATTTGATGGAGTGAGGGGAGGGAGAAAAGGAGGGAGAAAATAAATATTTGACATTTGAGGATCTGCTTTAGTTTTGGGCTTATCTCAGAACCTGTCTTACACATGCATTTGTTCTGCATTTCAATCTTCAGCCTCTAAAATGATTCCTGTGCAGAAACTGATGGTGCTTGTATTTCAGGTTGAGCTACTAAAATGTATCTTTGAATCTTGGCCTTCACATTCCAGCTGTGTGAATCCAGGGCACAGCTACCTTCAGCTTTCTCAACCAAAATTGTCGTTTTCAGCCTTGAAGTACCATAGTTGGCTGCTGTGCAGTCAGTTACACTGACATCTTTTGTTGTACTGACATTTTTGTAACTTTAGACCTGTTGTATGGGTATGCTGGAATAGTTTTGTACAAATATTTCCCTGTGCTAATGAAGTAAAATTTATACTGGGGGAAAATGCATGGCTGTATGTATTTCACCTCGTATGTCCAGAATATTTAATGTCAAATTACTTGTATTTATTACCTTCCTGAAAATAAGTGGTAGAAAAAGAGAGATGTTGGTAATGTACAAAAAGCTACTGTTATGATATACGCTGGAACAAATAGTAGTGGATTATATACATGCAATATAGATAGCTCCTGGCAATCTTGTAACTTTTTTTTCTTTTACTCTTTCTATGTTTTTAGGACTTACATTTAACTGGGGAGCCCTTCTTGGCTGGTCTGCCATCAGAGGGTCATGTGAATGGTCTGTGTGTTTGCCCTTGTACTTAGCTGGAGTAATGTGGACTCTGGTATACGATACCATTTATGCGCACCAGGTAGAGTAGCAGTGGGAAATTTTAGATATCACTGCATGTTTGTGTGTTTAATTTACAGCTCTGTTGTCAAACAGCAGTGTTAACATGTTGCAGTGCTTTACCCTCAGCTGAGCTAAAACGGTACCAAAGAAACCCCAGCCCTCAGACCTTTTATTGCTGCTTGCAAATGTTTTGTATATCAGGTGGAAAGCTGGAAGTATAGTGCACTTTGCTTATGCATTTGCATTGTATAAATAACTTCAGTGTTGGTATTAGCTCTTGGCCGCTAAAGCAGATCTAACGACTGACCTTCTAATTTCAATTTTAATGTAGAGACCTACAAATGAACTTAAATTGGGCTCCTAATAAGAAGCATTGGAAATTTAAGCAAGGGCCCACTTTTTATTTACCTTATGAAGTGGTGGTTGGGTTGTGATTTTTTTTTTTTTCTGATTCATTTCATTCTAGGATAAGAGGGACGACATCATGGTTGGTGTGAAGTCAACAGCATTACAGTTCAAGGAGGATACGAAGCAGTGGCTCAGTGGCTTCAGCCTTGCAATGCTCTTGAGTTTGTGCATGGCAGGAATGAACTGTAACCAGACATTTCCATATTACTCAGCTGTGGCTGCTGTAGGGGCTCACCTAGCACATCAGGTTTGACGTATTTCATACCTTTTCCATGTGGAAGTTCTTGATAAGAAATCAGAGTGCTTTTCAACTCCCATCAATTTGCCAACTACAAGGAGTCTCTTTATAGAGAACTTAAGTCTTCTGACAATAAGCTTACTTCACTTAAATACCTTTTGCAGACCTTTTGTTTGAAGAGACCTCCACTGGTCTACAGACTGTAGAGCACTGGTTTTCAGTCTGTTCCTAAGCAAAAACTCTGCCTCACGTTAAGCTGTCATCTCAAGGGAATGGTTTTCATTTCGTTTCCAGTAGCAGCTGCAAACTAGGTCTACCTCAGTATCTGCTGCACAATCATTTACTGTTTGAATTGTCAGAGAGGCCTTACATTGTAGTTTCAGCACAAATGGAAATTACTTTTCTTCAGGTAGGGTTTCTGTAAATGAGAATGCAGAATGTATGTGGTGAAATGTGCACAACAATTGTGTGGATTTCCAAGAGCCCATGGTTCTGTGTACCACAGAGTAGCTTCCTTTTTGAATGATTATTTTTGGTTGTGCCAAACATTCTCATGCTTACCTTCATGTTGAAGATTTCTGAATGTGTTCTTAACTATCTGAGTTTAGAAAGCTGAGTATGCTGCATGAGGGGTAAGTTTTACTTAATTCATTGAATTTTTGCCTGAAACAGGAGTTTGGGGTCATGAAGATGTCAAATTTCTATCCCACCCAAGAAGTTCACTGATAGAAAAATAACATCTTTTATTTACTTTGCATTTCTGAAGGTATACCTCCTGGTTTGGCTGCTCTTGGGTTTCATTTGTCAGTTCAGTGTTTTCAGTTCCCTGTGCTTGAGGGGCTGACAGGTTCTCAAGGGTGTGGACAACATCCTGTCTTAGAAGCTTGTGGCACCATTTCAGATTAATCAGAACCCAGACGTGTCGCCTCTGTACGACTACACATGGCAGAGGAGCAGGTTTTCCAAGGAAGATTCCACTTCTTTGTGTCCAATACATTCTGGTTTTACTTCTTCAGAGGCTGAATTGCAAGTTTTGAGGTTTTGGGGGGTACTTTTCCATTAACCCTTTCATTTGTTTTGCTTAACATTTCTTCTTGTCATCCTTCTCAAGACTTTTTCACCAAGTTTTGTTTCCAGGAATACTTTTCAGTAACTTTGCTCTGGCTGCATTGTGTGAGTTGGTTTTTCACCTTTACCTGTCTCACAGCACACAGCTACCAAGCTGGGCAGGCCTTGCTTCTAGCTGTTGTTGCAGATATCCTGGTTCTTTTTTTGCAAGAGAGTTGAATGGACATAGCTGACGGACTGGACTGAACCAGCCATGTGTGACTAGGCAGGGCTGAGCACCTTCCTGTGCATTCCAGGTTAGCCTGGGTCACTGCTGGCTCTCCAGTGCCTTGTCTTTACTGGAACATAGAGCAACACCTAGCAGCAGAGATTTAAAGCTGCAGGCAGGTTTTGGGGGGGGCTTAATTTTATTTAGAGTTCCCATTGAAGAATTAGTTGGCTACCTACAGAGGAAAATCTCAAAAAGACTTACTTACATGCTCTCCTGGTTTCAGCTGCGATAGAGTTAATTTTCTGTGCTGTGTTTTGGGTTCAGTCTGAGAATAATGTTGATAATGCATCAATTATTTAGTTTTTGCTGAGTAGTGTTTATACTAAGTCAAAGACTTGAAGTTTCCCATGCTGTGCCAGTAAAGGGGGGCACAAGAAGCCGAGAGGGAGCATGGACAGGACAGCTGAACATCATGCTCAGTGTATAAACTGGGGGGAGCTGGCAAGTAGGGGTTGATTGCTGCTCAGGGATGGGCCGGGCATCCATTGGTCAGCAGATGTTGCGCAGTTGTATTGTGCATCACTTGGGCTTTTTTGTTTGTTCGTTATATTCTTCTCTCCATTTAATTTTATTGTTGTTGTTGCTGTTGTCATTATTATATTTCTCTCTATTTCCATTATTAAACTGTTCTCATATTAACCCACAGGGAGAGTGAGTGAGTGGCTGTGTGGTACTTAGTTGCTGACTGGGCTTAAACCACAACACATGCCCAGATATTTTTACATTTTTTACTGTCAAACCCAACACACCAGGCTGTTTATACAGTCCTTCATGGAGATGGTCTGGGAATTGTGTTCGTATGTGATCTTTGACTTTCCTGCTGTATGTTGAATAAATTTGTGAAGTAAACATAGATGCCAGTTATGCAAAAAATCATTTGTAAGCATAGTGTATTCCTGTTTCTTGTGGAGCAAAAGGTAGACTTTAGAATTTGAGATTCAGTTTTTGAAGGTACAGACTTTACTGTGTCTTGTGGTGTGTGAAACATTTATAAGTCTGTAGACTAACGCTAGAATGTTACACTGTACTTTTGCAGATTTACACTTTGGACATAGACAAACCTGAAGACTGTTGGAAGAAATTTGCTTCAAATCGTACTGTTGGAGTTCTGCTCTTCATAGGCATTGTGCTTGGAAATCTGTGGAAACAAAAAGACTTAAAAAATGCAAAAGAAAACAGCTGAAATTACTACAAATAGTTCAGCTGGTAAGAAAGTACTGTAAGAAGTAACACACTTATAACTGTAGCTACCTTATACTGTTTATTTATAAAAGCTGGTGAAAACATTCTTGTTTCTAAAAACATGCGAATGAGGTTATCCTACAGTGTAAGTTTTAATCAAATGACTTCAACTTCTGTAGAAGCTTCAACAAGTGAAGCTGCTCTGCTGGTCCTGTGCAGCACAGGCAAACTTCTGTCAGGCTCTCAAGACTGCGAGCTCAGGATTTGACATGAAACAAATGTCTCTTAGTGACAGCACGTGAGAAAATGCAGATGTAAATAAAATCTGTCTGTACATGTTTGGTATTCTGATTTCTGTTACTTGAGTTGTGATAAATTTTGAGTTGGAGCTTTTTACGTGAAAGAACTGCAATAAAAACTTCTACCCTAACATGTCTAGAAGCAGTCAGGACTCAGAGTGTGTAAGGTCCAGAATATGAAGTCAAAGGAGAAGTATTTAAAATTACCTTTTGCTCTTGCTGTAATTGCTGGCAGTGATTCTTTTTCATGTGCAAAGAACAGGCTTCTGCAAAGTTTCCTGCACAGAATGAGCTGAGCTCATTTATCAAGAACGGTTTGAACACAGATTTCTGACTAGAAAACAGAGCAGCCCAGAGCTGTTGCCAAGTGTGCATGACTGGTGGCTTCCCCTGACCTACAAGTACCTCATGCAAAGAGATCCTCATTTTTATTTTCAGTTTTTAGTTGTATTCATTTTGACTTATGTCTGTTGGTTTTATTGTAGTATTACAGTGAGAAGTTGTTTATAGGAGAATGCTTATAAACAATAAAAATAGCAACTGCAGGCTAACAAATACATTGCTTTGAACCATTCATGTTTTCAGCCAGTTTATCCTCACCCAGTTATGTAATTTGCACTGTAGTTAACCTTTTCTTTGACTCAGGGTATTAAAGACCTTGTATGGCATATTCAGGAATTGATTTATGTGGAAGGAGCAATGGGTAAGCCTGTTCTGGGAGAATGATACGGTGGAGTTTATCTCAGTTCACAAACTGGTAGGCACTGGCAAGCAATGCAAGGTGGCTTTGTGTATGCCTATATGTGGGGATGTGGTTTGGTGGTGCAGAGTGTTCTGTTGCCAAACTCTCTATGGTATTCCCACAAGCTTTCCTAATGTCTGCTCTGCTCCTTCAGTGCTGTGGCACAACTGTGTGTCCAGCAGCACCAAAAATAAGGTTGCATACTGCTCTAGCTCTAAAGATGGGTATTATGTTTTCAGGTTATTTAAACCAATATATCTGCTGGACACTGCAGTTCAGAGCCAGGCATTCAAGGTTTGTTAACTGTAGTTTTGCATTACCGACAATGGTGAACAAGCGAAGAAGTTCCTGTTGCACGGCAATGAGAAGCCATAGAATGAGTCAATGGCTTTGGTCACAGAACATTTTTTTGGGGCCTGGAACAGACTCCTGTGTGTTCTGAACATTTCTTGAACATACACCTTGTAAAGCTGGCTTTTTCCTTCTACTGTTTAAACCAGTGATGATAAATACGTTTTGAACAAATTAGAGTAGATTTTTCAGCCTGACTGCATATAAGACAACTACGTGAAAATGTTAGGAAGCATAACTGCTTTTAGGGCCTCCTTGGTCCTCACACAGAAATTCTTAAATAGGATTTATGATTTTGGGGTGGAGAAAGTATTCCGTTGAAGAAAAGCAGTTCAAAAATTAGGAATAACAAGTTTCTGAGCAATTATGAGTTGCATTTTGTAGAGGGAGGATTGGATGCATCCAGCTTTGTGCTGAACTTTCAGTATAAGGCATTTACTTGTAATAAAAAAGTATTGTGATGTAATTAGTATAGATTGGTTTCTTAATACTTGTAACATTACCTTGGAGAGGTTGTGGCAAAAGTTATTAATCTGTTTTTAACATGTTAAAGTGTCTCTAGATTTGGGATTTTTGGAGTGCTTGGACCTAGCGGTGTCCTTTGTCTGATGACAATGTGCCACAAGCTTTTGTCTTATAATGAGAGGGAGTAGGAGGTGTAGCTAGATAGAGTAAAAATTCAAGTTATAAAAACAGTCTTCATGTCCTAAACGATAAAATCATTGCATGTTTTCTGTGTGGTTTTCCAAATTCATCTCAAAATGCGTATTACAAAGATAAGCCATAGCTGTACATTAGGTTCATAGCCTGAGAAATGGAGAACAGTTTAGATTCTAGCTTATAATAGTGTCATTTGTGTGAGCATTGTATGATTTGTACACAGAAAAATGAAATAACTTTTTAAGTGCAAAATAGACAAAGGCTGAACTGCTTCCTGGATAAAACCCTGTTTGTATCTGCTGACAGGTATATGTGCGTATCTTCTCCTTCCATTCCCAAACTATTCTATTCCAAAACTTCACAAAGACACTCTCTGCTGTATTTAGATACTGTCTATTAAATAAATCTCAAATACACATATTTCTAAGCAGCAGCTTCCTTATTAGCTAGTGTGCTTTTGCAGAGATAAGCATTGTCATCTGGAAGTTTCTACTCCCCTTCCTTTTCAAAGTGTTCCTCTGCAGGATCTTGAGATAATAAATGCTTTTGGAGGTAGCAGGAAGGTCAAATGTGCCTTGCAGAGACAAAAGCCTTGGCAGTTACTCAGTGAGACAGAAGACTCTGTAACCAACACAAATGCTTGCCTTTGTGCACTCCTATTGTACTTTGTAGAAAAGCCTATGAAAGCAACACCAGCTCTTTGTAGGAATAGTAGTACACAGTAGGGGTGCTAGCTCCTGCCAGATATGGGCAAGGGTTGCCAAGGCATCAGCAGCCCTTCGTGGTGGGGCTGCATCTTTGACTCAGCACATGCGAGCTTTCGCACTCACTCAGGGCGAGGGACTCACTAGAGGGTCATCCAAGATGAAAAATGCTTGAATTTTGCTTGTTTGCTCAGTGTGCTTGTGAGGTGGGCCAATACCAACCTCATGAAGTTCAACCAAGCCAAGTGCAAGGTCCTACACCTGGGTCGGAGCAATCCCAGGCACAGCTACAGGTTGGGCAGAGAAGAGATTCAGAGCAGCCCTGCGGAGAAGGACTTGGGGGTGTTGGTTGATGAGAAAACGAACATGAGCCGGCTTCAGTGTGCGCTTGCAGCCTAAAAAGCCAACCGTATCCTGGGCTGCATCAAGAGAAGCGTGAGAGCAGGTCGAAGGAGGTGATCCTGCCCCTCTACTCTGCTCTTGTGAGACCTCACCTGGAGTATTGTGTGCAGTTCTGATGTCCTCAACATAAAAAAGCACATGGAACTGTTGGAACAAGTCCAGAGGAGGGCCACGAGGATGATCAGGGGACTGGAGCACCTCCCGTATGAAGATAGGCTGAGAAAGTTGGGGCTGTTCAGCCTGGAGAAGAGAAGGCTGTGTGGAGACCTCATAGCAGCCTTCCAGTATCTGAAGGGGGCCTATAGGGATGCTGGGGAGGGACTCTTCATTAGGGACTGTAGTGACAGGACAAGGGGTAATGGGTTCAAACTTAAACAGGGGAAGTTTAGATTGGATATAAGGAGGAAGTTCTTTACTGTAAGTGTGGTGAGGCACTGGGATGGGTTGCCCAGGGAAGTTGTGAATGCTCCACCCCTGGCAGTGTTCAAGGCCAGGTTGGACAGGGCCTTGGGTGACGTGGTTTAGTGTGAGGTGTCCCTGCTCATGGCAGGATGTCAGAACCTGATTATCTTAAAGTCCTTTCCAACCCTAACTATTCTATGATTCTATGTTTTTGTGTTTTTAGCAAAATCCAGGAAAAATTTCTTCCCTATGAAGGTGATGAGACACTGGCACAGGTTGCTGAAAGAAGCTGTTTGCCCCATCCCTGGCAGTGTTCAAGACCAGGTTGGATGGGGCTTTGAGCAATCTGGTCTAGTGTGAGGTGTCCCTGTCTGTGGCAGGGGGTTGGAACTGAATGAGCTCTAAGGTCTTTTCCAGCCCAAACTGTTCTGTGACTCTATGGTTGATTCTTGGTAAATACATTAATGCAAGGGGGTCAGATTTTTCCATCCCTCTGATTTCAGGAAAGTATGCACTGCAGGCACCTAGTTCAGGAGCTGTGGTGTGCAAACAGCACAGACCCGGGACATGGCACACACACACTTCCATGTCTGGAAGGCAGTCGAGCCACTGTGAGTCACCAGGTCTGTAGGTCACTCGTATCATGACATGGGAACAAGAAGAAGGCTTGACTCAAAGTCAGAAAGGTGTGCCAGCCTGCAGAAAGATCAGAGCATCCTGTGGGCTGAAGTCACTAAAAACATGGCTGAAAACTAAGGTAACCCTTCACCTGTAGCAGCATGGCATTGTGGTTAGCCAGTATTCAAGGAAGATGCTGAAAGCACAGCCTGATGTGATGAAGTGCTGGTGTGGCAAAGTGGGAGAATGTATTTTGTGGGTGCTTCTTTGTTTTCTCCTTTTGGTGAAAACAGGGAAAGGGCCATTCTTATTTCTAAACACACTGCAGTGCGAATACCGCAGAGAGAAGAACCGTTCCAAACCGCTTGAAAGCAAAGCTGCCAAGAAAAATGTGGATGTTAACCAGCCATAGATTATGTGACATTCTGATACTAGCTGAAGGCTATTGGTATGAAGGTGCTAGCTCCTGGCATACTGGAGAGGTGAGTTTCCTGTAGTGCCTCCCTGTAGTTTGTGATGGAGGTGAAAGGCCAGAGCAAATTTTGGCACAGTGTGTGCCAGATACAGTACCAGAATTACAAAGGGTATGAAAAAAAAATCTTGTTTGCACTTCTCCTGAATTGTGGTGATTAAAAATCACCACCCTCCTACCCCCAGCCAGGCAGCTGTACCCATTGTGGTAGCTGTGCCCATTGTGGTTTTGCTTGAGCTAAGCAGGAAGAGGTCTAATACAACTGAAAACAAAACAAAACTGCCAACCAGAAACAGTCTTCAAATGCTGGTTCAAAACTTCCATAAATGCAGCTATAGTTTCTGGAAGACCAAGCAGAAGATCCCTGCCCTAATGAAAAAACAATCAAACCAACCCCCCCCAGACCCACTCCTGGATGTTTACACCAGCAGAACACAAGTCACTGAAATTGCAGAGCTGCTTGGCTATGACAGGCAGAGTAACAAGGAGAAATACCTAATGCAAATATGTTGCTTTAACTGCATAGCAGAAGCAAGCCTTTAGCAAGCCTAGAGGGCACGGGGAGAAGAGAACTGCCTTCCCATCACACAGTGCCTTGTTTTTTTTCCAGGGCTGGCATCAAAGTATTGTTCAGCTCTGAATGAAAAGTATATTGAAGTGAAAAAATGTTGCCTCCAAGTTAACCCTGCAGGCAAAGCGCACATGCATAGCATGAGTGAACTGTTCCAAGGAAAGCGTTAACTGGCTGCTTAATGGAAAGACCCGTGTGCTTTGTGTTGGATGTCATGCTGTAGCACGACCAAATACGTCAAACATATTTTCCAGCTTCGTCATTGCTTATTTCCCCACAAATGCTGTCATGCTATTAACCACTTTTCCAGGAAATGTATAAATGGAAATAAAAGTACCGCAGAGAAAAAATGAAGGAAAGCACAGACTTTGTGTACACCATAACGTGATTTTTGGCAGTACCTGCATTACTGCTGTGCTTTATTTAAGCATTGGTTGGAAGGGACTTTAAAGAATTTGTTTGCATAGTGTTGGCATGACGCTTTTCTCCCACCTCCCCAACTTCCCCATGCATGACACCAGACATAGATGCAGTAATGCAACAAATCAAAGATTTGGCAGGTCACTGTAAAAGTTGTCATGCTGACAGTGTCTGACAGAGAGAGGGGCTGGGAGGTCTCCTGTTTTCTTCCTGCTTGGGGTGAAGACCCAGGGCAGAGAGCCTAGTCTGTCTAAGCACATTATCCATGATGCTAATAGGGCTGAGGTTGCTCTTGTGATACTCAACTTGCTGAGATCATAAAGGGCTAACCCTTATGGAGTGGGCTGAGCCTGGCAGGCAATGAACTGAGCTGTCTTCTATACATTCTGTGATGAGCAACTTAGGTAACAGGAAATGTTTGACCAGGAGTAGAATAGGTGTCTCTGTAATCAAGATAGAACAAAGGGTGCCCGCCTAGGCCCTGTTGAAGCAAATTTTGGTAAAACACTGATAAAAGAGGAATGTTATTCATGAGTTCCAGGAAATGATTTACATATATATAGGGCTTTCCTGGGAAATCTAATGAATATGTATGTATCACTGTCATACAATGCCTGCTTTTGAGAACTCCAGGTGGAAGGATCTCCATGTCTCCAGCTCTGCAATAAGGAATGCCCACTTTCTAAGATTCCAATGCAAGTCTTAGAGAGTTTTACTTGCTGACTTTTATGGTATCACTTGGTGGTGTAAAGGACAGGCTGAAGGTCTGGTGTTGTTGGAGTGCATACGTCCTCTCCCAGGTGACAGATGATAAAGACCCAGTTGCTCAACCCCAAGCAGGGCTCTGGCACCGGCAGGTTCGTCCCTTGTTGGGTCTTTACCTGGCAGGGGCTGTCTCTGCAGCCAGCACAGCCCAGGGATCAGTCACCCATTTTAATATGCTGGGCAGGACGGGGAGAGAGTCCTCTCAGTCCTTCCTGTGTCTCTTAGCCCCATCATGAGATGCTGTGCTGTCAGGGGTCCTCTGAGATGTTGGGACATCCATGCAGGGAAGCCATCTGCTACAGAGGGGGTGCAAAGGTGGTGACTGTTGTGCCTATCTGCTGTCTTCAGGCCTTGCTCAAGAAATCAGTGGCAATTTATGGGGGGGGGGGAACGACTAAAAAGTTGACTTCAAGAGTTTGAGCTGCTCAGTACTGATTTATTTACACCAACGT